AGGTTGTTACCTCTGGCAGTCAGGGAAACACAGCCCTTTACATTACCCCATCTCTTTTAAATCATCCTGAATTCAACAACTGTGTCCCATTCCAAACTAGGAGTCAGTGTGACTGGATTCCCCTGCCCCCGCATTCACACACATCCCTCACCCCCACCCCAATCCCCTGTCCTGACCACGGAGCATGGCTCACAGCACGTACCTCGTGTCGCTCTCCTCTCCCCTGTTGGCTCAGACAAAAGCAAACAGCCCTTTGAGCAAACAGTGCAACAACTTGTCAACATTGTCCTCGGCTTAGCAGCGGTGACCATGTAGTATTAAAGCTGACTCATCAGCAGGGGTAAGATGCAAAAGAAGGAGTAGAATATGTGAGAGATATTTAAATACCTGCAAAAAACTATTTATATTTGGTGGGTATTAATCCTCTTAGGGCAGCACATTTTTGGCATAATGTTTAAAAAGAAATTACAGATCCAGCAATATTAGGGATTTTTTTCAGTCTTCTTTGCAATGTAATTGAAATAATCCTGCAAATAAATTATTACAAGCTTTACCGTTCATATTTACATCAGATACAATATACTGTACTATTCAGAAAATAACATATTTTTCATTATGTTTTAATTCACCCTCTCCATTACATATAAGTGTGACCATGTGTAAACATGCATGTGTGCATGCCTTACAGTACATGCACCTTGCATTGTTGCAATAGTAAACATGGAAGCGTGTGAGCTTTCTAACTTTTATCAATGTTTCCAAGTATGTGTGGGTCACTTGACAGTGCATGTTAGCTCCTGATAATGCATATGCAAACATATTTCCTGTTTGATGGAAAGCCTCGTGTGGACCCTGGAAGACTCCGCCCCCCTCCTCTGTGACACACATAGGTAATTTCATGGAAATTTCAATTTATTTCCTTGACTCTGGCTCCGAAGAGGCCGTGAAAGATCAGGGTGAGGACATTGACTTAAACACGCCTGCTTTAAGTGCAGAAAATAGAATAGCCGTATGACATCACATCCGCATTGAACTGATAACCAGTCCTGTTAAATTTACATTAGACATATTGTTTTTTTTTTCTTTATATATATATATTTTTTTCAGTTATAAGATAAACAAAGACATTGCACCAGATAACAGAAAAAACACACAACAACAAGCAACTAAACAAGATATTACACAGGAAATGCCATATTGACAGGGTCAGATGAGAGCTGCGGACAGTGAACCGTAATCCTCCTGTCTCCCCTCAAAATCCCCCAGCAGAGAAGCTGCACGCTCCATATTCAGCAGGTCCAGATACTCCCTCAGCTATGAGTCCCGAGTGAAGCAGGGTGGTTTGCGTTCCTTCCAATTTAGTAGGACGATTTTTTTTGTGGCTAAACAGCCCAATGTCCAGAGCCGATCGGCAGTCCTTACAACATTGTCATCTGGCTTGAGACCCAGACATGCAATGTGACATGTAGATTAACATTTAAAAATTGTATTTACATATTGTTAACTTTTATAGAATGATATATCAAAACTTCAGTCCAAGCAATGCCCCTCAAATACCACCCTGGCACCTATATTGATCATAAGTCTATTGGCTTCACTTTATGACATCATAGCCCCAATGCTTTTTATGATGATTTGAATACAAGTTGTAACAGGGAAGAAGTATCCCGAGGGGTCTTATGGGGTACACCATCACTTTCTAAATGTGGCACATTGTGGGGATAGCTGCTTCACTGGACTAGTACGCCAGACTAGACAGTGGGAATTAGTTCCAAGCTGTCATTTGAAGGTACAATTATTACACTAGGTTGCTTTTAACCAACATAATTCTATATATAAGTAAGTAAGAACTCTTATAAGTAAAACGGACTTACGTTTTGTTAAGGGACACAAAGAACTTCACACAAAACTGCTCAAACTGAGTGTGTCCCTGCTGCTGGAGCTCCATGCAAGCTCAACAAAAGGTGCAGGCAATCAAGCATAGTTAACTATTGTCCAATCCCCTGCCTCCCCAGGCATGAGGCCACACACTGACTTTGCCTACCTCACATTATGATAAGACTGCTGCCCAGAGGAAGATTATTCTGGGCTTCACTTTATGGAAACATAAACTAATTTGGTTAATTGGAAAACATATTTTGCTCAATAATAAAGTTAAGACAGGACAAAAGGTTCAACTCCAGGATGAAGACATTCTTATGTACTTCAGGGATGATAGTATGGATGCAGATGTTGTCTTTTTTGTGCAGTTAATTGTATTTTGAAGGACATATCATATCCATAAGAAGAAATGCGCTGACTCCAAACCAAATGTTTTAATTTCTATCAAGAATTTACAACATATTAGCATTATAAAAAACATTAGGAATAAGAAGGCAATCAAAACTAATTTGATATTTTAAAAACATTTAATCTGAAGGTATCAAAAATGTATTTTTCTTTCCTTTTTTTGTTTATTTACTGTATGAATTGTCTTGTTGCTTGGTATGTCTGCCCCTGGACTTGGTTGTATGTAAAAATGTATGATGTTCATGTATAATATTGAATAGATTGGAAATTAAAATCTTTCAAACAGTTCTTAATTCTGTATTACCCCACTTCCAATCACTTGTTCCTTATTTCATCCTTAGTTGCAACACGCCTGTCTCTATGAGTAGCAGTAGCTTACATTTCCATTGCTGTAATTCCAGCATACATCTACTTCTTCTACTTTATAAGAGCACATGCTGTTAGCTAATCTATCTATCTATGCCTTTATTCCAAGAACGACCCTGGAGGTGGAGAGTTTGGATGATCACAAGCTGGAAACAGTGACATGTGCCACTGTGGCAAAGGGATGAGAGGGTGCTGTAATAATATACTTACTACTGATCACCTGAAATAACTGTAGCCTACATTATAAATCTCAAATTCAAATGTCAGATTATTAAAATGTTGATATGTGTCAAACCTTGATTTAAGGCATCATTTGTACTCAATGTGCATGAGAGTATTCCTATATTTAAAAACGTAATGATTTTGGCAATCAGAACCAAAGAGCTCATATGATATCATTTCAATATTGACACAATCAATGTTTTTGAAAGTATACCAGGTCACTGTTTCTGAATATCATCGGAACAATGGATGGGAAGTCTCCGCACGTATTTTCTTGAAACATTACTTAGGCCAAACGTTTTATAAACAGGGATTGCCTAGATAACAATGAAAGAAAACAATTTTGCCTTAAGGGAGGAGGTAGTTTAGATTGTCATAGAAAACAATGCAACTTATTTTCAAAGTCATCAATACAAGATCAAACAGGATCAGTTTTTAGAAACACCTACCGGATAAGTGCATGAGATCCACAAAAGAGCTTCGTTTCCAATTAGTGAGCAATAGACGGACTTATGGGCCAAACCGCGAGGACCCTGTGACCCTATGGAGTTTCCCAGTGAGTTATGGACATGATTTATTTTACCTCCGTACACCGGCTTTAGTAGTCTATTTTCACGCTTTACGCAGAGCCAGACTGCATTCACGGGTGGATGTTTTATCGCTCACCTTGGTGCGTAAAAAGGCGCGTCCTCGTCCTAACGAGCCTTCACGTTATGACTTTATCCTTAGGGGAGGCAAATAAAAGGTTTTGCCAAAGCACGACAGTGATGCAAAACCTGGGTGGGTGACTGCTCTCAGAGGCAGCGCACATGTTCTTGGCTCGGACCTACATGTCAGTCGGACTAGCGCTGGGACCCGTGCACTTCGTTGTATGAGTTACTGGATTTGCCTGGTGCCTTTAACTTGAGTTTAAGCTTCTGCATTTAAACACACGATGTTTTTAAAAGATGCGCCACCTGTTTGCGAATGTTGCAGAAAACGGGTAGAGGTAAGAGCGCATGAAAATATTATAGTGTTGTGCGTGACTTTGTGTGCATTGTTCTGCATTCATTTATATGTTGAGCATTTTAGAACTCGTCATCACGTTATTGCTATGCTGAAGCTAGTATGTATACGTGTTTGAGTTAATACTGAATTTTGAGACTATTTAAAAGCTCCGGAGGTCTGGGTTTCTTGGAAATGCCTGTTTTCCTCAAAGTTGTCCTGCGATTGATGTTGTAAGTCCTATTTCTGCATGCTTCAGGGTTGTTTTTAATCACCACAGTTCATGGGGATATATTGTGTTTTGCCACTTTCTGACAAACTGCTTTACATTAGGCTATACTGCTAAACCAGCTGGTGGACATAACATACTCCTCATAAAGGGAGGAATAGACACTATCCTGTCTCAAAAAGGTCTTTATAAAGCCTCTGAGGAAGGAAATGGAAAGCATTATGTTGAACCTTACAGATTTGAGCAAGGCAGGCACTACTGCTAGAGTTATGGGTTTGATTCCCACTTAAGATGTGATGTATTATACACTCCTGAGAAGCTGAGTAATGATTACCTGTTTATTTTACTCCCTGGGAAAATCCCGCTTCAGTCATCACCTCTAGCATGACACAGCAGACTGCAAAGTCAAGGGTACTGAATGCCAAAGCTGAATCTGCAGTTTTTGGCTCAGTCTTCACATACTTCTGTCAGAGGAAAAGAGCAAAAGGTTATCAAAGACTGACAGCCATAAGAGGTCAAGAGGAGCTGTTCAGGAACTAATGTCACATGTGAAATCTGATATCTACTTATTTACGCCTCTGCACTTTGTCCTCGGGAAGACACATTCAAAATAGAAAGGAGCGTGCAAAGCATTCAAAGGCAACCATCCCATACCTGAGATAAACTTGAAATAGAATTACTAATCAGCTGTCAGGCATTTAACCATTGGTGCCGCATCCAGTTGGTTTCAATTGCTGAACTATGCCTGTGCACCTGTTTGACATGAATTAGTTAAAATAGAACGTGTCAAAGGCATCAGCTCACATGAGCATCCTGTCATCTTTCCAAAACAACAGACACAAACCCAGAGTGAAGCTTGCCACTCTCCAAAGCACTGCCACTTGACTACCGCTGCCAATTTTGAATAGCAACATGGTTTTTGGCAGCTGATGATGGGAGACAGAGGTGATAACTTCAAGTTTGGCCACAGTCCTAGATCGTAAACTCCCGCAGAATGCAGAGAGGGAGTGCACGTGGGTGGGTGTTCACAGTTTAGATTGATGAATTCTCACGTAGGCGATGGCGGAGGTCAGCGTTAATCCTCAATCGTAAAACTGAGTCACCCAGATTTAATTCAAGTTTAAAGTGGCTGCAAACAGGATGCGTGTGGATTTATTCCTATTGCTTTGTAAACAATCCCAAATAGTAATCTCTTTAAGACTATTTATGTGCATGTTATGAAGGTGTATTAATCTCTACTACAAATCTACAGGGATTAAAAAACGTTTGTGATATAAGGATGCGGTATTACTAATGAGTAGCTTGCGAAGACACTGTGCGTAACTCCCCCTATATACATACAGTTTACGGGGTTTGAATGCATCAGATGTGCTTTTTTCTAGACAGACTGATCGACAGTGTGCTCCATGACGATAGAGAACAGTGGCCATGGAGGTTACGCTGATTATACTATTGATCTCTTATAGAACTGCACTAAATGTACTACCAGTAATGCTTTTAATATTCTTTGTCCTTATGGAACTCCTTTTGCCGAACAGTTACATTTGTGCTAGTTATCTGTGAGTGAACTTCTGGGAACTTAGTCAGTACCAGACTTGTCTCTGCCTGGGAAGATCATCTGTATTTGTTATCATCATTCTGCGTCACACATCCAGGCTGATGTCAAAGAGTGCATTCAGCATGCGGCACACAGGAACGAGGCAGGGTGCCCACATGATCCGCAACAGTAGAAGCACTCTCGCTGCCAAGTCTCTCCTCAGTGTTCAGAATTCAGTACTCTCTCTGTATGTTAAAAGTTAGATAAAAAAACGACCTTTTTTAAATAAGGGTTATAGAAGCCTTCATTTCTGCACTGTCATGATTTGGTTTTTGGTTGTTGGCCTTTTTTCCTGCTCCTACTGTACTTTAAGAGATCCAGAGAAGTCACAGGTTTATATCGGGAAGTTGAGCTGAGCGACCCATTCATCCTTTTTTATGTTATTATAAATCCACTACTGACGCTTCAGGTTAGTTTAAGATCTTGTTTAAGATCTTTGGAGTCTGGAGCTTTTGTTTGTGATCTTTTGACTCAACTTTTCCTTTCAATTTCTATTTGAACACGACCCTGCAGTCTCATGACGCGGCGTACAACAATGGAGTTTAAAAACACGACATGAATCTGACTTTTCCCAAGAGCATATTCAAGAAAAAAAAACCTATATAAAATGATATAGGTGCCCTTCTAGCTTCCCATTCTGTCTTGATTATTCTGCAACTTTTACGTGACTGTATTTGTGTGTGTATGTTCTGGCAGGACTGCTCACCTTGCTGTTGTTAGTGATGGAGTGGACCCGGCCTGGCCTATCATCCCCGCTGAGGCCAATCTGTGACCTGAGGGTCCTGGACCATTTCATCAAAGAAGCACGAGACGCAGAAGTCGCTATGGTGAGAGGAAGATGTAGATACTGAGATCCATAAGCAGATGAAGATTGCTGCAGAGATGTTGCAGTCCGCGAATGCGTATGCACCTTTGGAGAAAAGTAGCCTAACATTAGCACTTTCTTGTTGTCTTAGAAGTCGTGCAGAGAAGGATGCAGCCTGTCAGAATCTGTCTCTGTTCCCCAAACCACAGTCGACTTTGATGTCTGGGAGGAGAAAAATGTAAGTAAGCTCTGAGAACAGTTGAAAGCTCAAACAGCAAAAATACAAATTCATAGACACTGGATGTCATTTCATCACAAAAATCCTCCTAGAAAATTACTTACAACCCGTACTGCTTCCATAGACTCTTAAACTTGTGCGTCTTTCTTATTTTTGCAAGGGATTAGATCAAGCCCACGAGGTGCAGTCTGGCTTGTGCCTCTTACAACAGGCCCTGGGGTTGCTAAAGACGTCAGTCACCAACACAGCTCTGCACAGCCACTTAGATAACTGCATCAGAAACCTGCTCAGCATCAATGCTGTGCTGCGCAGCCTCAACATCCAGGTGAGTCCCAGCAGGATGCATCATCTTACTAAAGTGAAGAGCGGAAATGTGATTTAAAAAGGGCTGGATCTCTGCATCAGCAATATGTTTAACTCTTCAGAATAAAAGCAGTTACCTCTGCAGGTGTATTATAGGTCACCTTATACTTCCATTGTATGTAGTCATCAAGCAAACTCTTAAATAAGACTGTTCTGTATACACTCTTTTAATGTAAGAGGCCGTGGTTATTAAACCCAATGTGATTAATTGTTCTATTTAGTGATCATTCGTGAGCTCAAGTAGTTTCTTGGAATATGGGAATTAGATTTTCTCTATTAATAGAGAAACGGATGCATGTCATGGGACATTCTCTAGAATCCAACCATAATGCTTCAATGACAAGCTGCTGTATAAGCTCTTTCTTAGATTGATGATGTTGTGGCAACGCAGCCTTTGGAATGATCCAGATCCAAGCAAAGGCCTTGTGGGGAGGCAAACTCAAACTGAATGAGCTGTCTGTGTCTGGGCTCAAGAGTCACTAAAATAAAAGTTTCATCATCAGGAGCAGGAGACAGAGTTCTTCATTCTTGGAAAACAAGACAAATATCCCCCACAAAAATGACCAAGACAAGACCAATGCGAATGATTGACGAGTAGTTTTGTTTGAGGCTTAAAGTAAACGGCGTACTCCTACAAGGGGATATGTAGCATGTTGTAGCACAGGCTTATGATGTTTTACTGAAAGAGGAAGAAACAAACCCACATTTTTCAATTTAAGAACAAGAGCAATGTGTTTGTTGTGTCGTCTTTTAGGAGTATACCCCACCAGCAAGTGCAGCGGAGCTTGAAGGAACATGGAGGGTGTCCTCGGCAACAGATTTGCTTCAAGTTCACGTCAACTTCCTGCGTGGCAAAGTGCGCCTCCTTCTCATGGATGCACAGGCCTGCCAGCAAGACGTCAGCTGATCCCTCCAGGCGAAGCTCATTTGTGTTTACGAAGGCAAGAGGAGGGACTTGACACTGTTGACCCGCACGCTGGCTGCTGGAACCAAGAGTGGAATGAGAGAAAGATGCAGCCGTCCAAGCACACGGGGACAAAGCTGGAAGGAGAGGACAGTCCCAGCAAGGCTTTGGATGGACAGGAGATGATTGCACCGTGGAAAGTAGTGAAACAGTGACATGTTGAAGCACTCTGACCAAAGTGAGGCCTTTGGGAAGCACTTCTCCAAGCTGTTCTACTGGCACTATCTTGCACTTTGTGTGTGTGAGTTGAGACAGATTCAATTTGTACCTAGTGTGTATGTTCCCTGTGTGTTTTACCCCATCTCTCACCTTTTTACAGTCGATTTTGGAGTGAAACACATAGTAAATATTGGAGGACTGAGGTTACAAAAGAGCATCCATTTCCATAACCATGGCCAAAATGAACGAGGCCCTGCCCCAAATCCTTTAACATTTTTCAACTATTCCTCAAATTAGTCCCTCCTTGTGGATTTGTTTTCAATTAATATTTTTATACATATGTTAAAGTTGTGCGATTACTATTTATACAGATTTTCTACTTTTTAACTTGTCTTTTTTAGTGTCGGATCTTAAAGATTGTAGTATTGCCATGTCCTCTTGTGTAACACTGTACAATATTGCAAAGCTGTTTGTTGACATCATTTGCAATAGCACGCTGCTGTCTTCGTTTTTATAAAATAGTTTGTACTGTAGATTCACATTGCACGTACCTTTCCACAGAACAGAGGGCTAAAGAGTTGTAGCAGAGGTTACAGTTTTCAAGGTCAGTGAGAAGGTGGCTGGAGGGTTACATGAGAACTGTGAAGCTGTTTTGCCACGATGTGTGTTTTTGTTGCTGCCTAACCAACACTCAGTCAGTCTCCACACACTGATAGCCGGACTGCCCGGAAAAAAGCTGTTTGGCTTTTACAAGTAACATCCTGTGGGGCTGCAATTGCAAATAGTTTTCCAGAATCTGACGTTAACACTGTTTTTTCGCCGTTCCTTATTCGTCAACAAACATGCAGGCAATTAGTTAGCGCTGGGAACTTCCATAAAGTTGATGTTCATCTCTTTCAGACCGGTAAAGTGTTCTTCCTTGTTTTCTTCCGTATTTTAAAATCTTGTTCAAGTGCAAGATGTTTTTTGAGGAAGTTTGTACATGTTTTCTTTCCTGTTGTTTTTGTGTTGATTTGTCCCCTAACTGTATTATTTGCTATTTAAATACAAAATATTATTCTCGGATAAAGAAAAGATAGATGGAAACACAACAAGGGGAAGTCTGTCCATTTCATTCATTATCTTTATCTTCAAGTCAGCAGAGTTGACAATATTGTTTTACAATGACTGGCATTAATTTGATCCTGACCCACAGAGGGTTAAAGATAACATTCAGCGAGTTATATTATTTTTCAAGAAATCAAACACATTTCACATACTGTAAACTGTCCTTTACCTATTCATTCTGAACATGGACACCACCTGCAGTTCAATAATATGACATTTAAATAGACTACTGACATCTAGTGGACATGAATTGCAACAACACCTACTTTAAACTCAGGATTTCTCAGGTTTTCTAAGTATTTGTATCTTTTAAACATAAAGACATGGAACTGTAAACCCTTTTATAGACCCTTAATTTGACCTTGAAATTAAAGACACTTGTACATTTGGCAGAGCTATATCTACAAGTATTACATTAAATTGAGGTGGTAATCACCATTGCTGCCTCAATACATGCAAAGTAAATTAAAAAACAACAACAATTTGCAATTGACAAGAGCTTAATGTATTTAGTCAACTAAAGTTGTCCCAATCGGAGCATCCTGCTCCATTCTGCAGTCCTCTGCTGCTGTCCTCAAATATCTCCACACACAGACAACAGTGTTATATCTCTCTACTGGTTTATGAGGGAACAAATAGCACACCTCTACTCCGGTCACTGGGGGTCAGGGTAGAAAACCTTGATATGAATGGCTGAGTTGTTGCGTGTACGCGTTAGGTGCTCGCCGGCCTCGTCTGGATCTTCAGGCTCCAGGTCGTCCACCAGCTCCACGGTGGAGGTGTTGGCTGCCAGCTGCAGCACCCCCTGGCTGCTGGCCTGCAGCTGGAGGGCAATGTTGATGGCTCTGTTGATGGCCAGGCCCAGGCCGTGGACACAGATCTCCCTGTGAGCCCCGCCTTCCAGCAGCTTCTGACAGCGTGCCAGCTGAGCCCGGAAATCAGTCTTCATGTTGACGTAGACGTCGTTCCGTCTCTTTGGGAGCTTCCGGGGGAGGCGCTTCCTCAGGGTGTACTCCACGGGGTCCATCTCTACTGCCGGAGACGTGGAGTCAGTGTGCACCGGGGCTGCCTGGGGGACGGAGGACATTCCTGGGGTGCGTGGATCGCTCATGTTTCTCAGTGTGCGTAGGCAGCAGCAGGAAAGCTGGGGAAATACATTTGATGAAATCTAGTCATGAGATTTCCGAGCAAACAAAACATTGGCTTAATATGGCTTCAACTTACAAGTATTTTAATTCTCTTCTGATATCATTTTTTAAATAATCACTCATCTACAAAATGCAAGTAAATAATCAAGTCTTTCCCAAAGCCCTAGGGCATAATCAACCTCTGACAAGCAGTAAATATTCGAAGATAGTCATAGTCAGTATCCCATAAGACAATGAAAAGCAGCAGATCCTCACAATGAATAAACTAGGCAAAAGATTCATTTATTATCATACAGGGTATATGCTGATTCATTTTCCATCAATTTACTTATAGTTTAATCTCTACATCATAGATCCTGCATTCATTCTTCAGAGACAATTACTTTTAAAGTATAAGTACCCTAGTCCTGAATTAAAGGACAAAAACATTACCATATTCCAGCTTCCTCAATGTGACACTTTTTTCTTTCTTCAATTCTAAAAATATTTGTTCCATTGCATCTCAAATGTTGTAGACCAGATTAATTGAGTGCAAAACAAGCAGATAATGTTAGTTGATGATCAAAATACCGTTAGTTACATATAGGCCTACCTACACCATAAATTGTACATAACTAAAAGTAACCTGTAGCATAGAAATAGATTATTAACATTACAAGGCAGTTAATTGAATGGATTATATCCCTAACGTTAATAAAATATATTACAACATTAAGTATAACGTTGTTTTACCGGTAAGAAAACTACAGTAGAAAGACGTCCAACATTAGCCACATCTGTGACACTCGGTTACAGAGCGTTCCCCCCGCAAACCTTGGGGCAAATAAACGTTGTTTTTAGTTTATTAAACAGCAGCCGGTTGTATTATGAAGTGTATATTGGTAATCCCACACATGTATTTAGTCTATCAGGAGTGTTTTAATGTTTGCCAGGACAAAACCAACGTTTTTATCTCATACATTAACTATGTGACTGAGTTTCGGATTAACGAGCCGAGGTCACTTTTTGAACTAGACCTGCTAGAGCTAGACAAACATTAGCTAGCTAACGTTACTGAGCCCAAAAGCATTATGTGAGCTAAACTAGATAACCGTGTTATTTACGGTGTCAATACTCTGAGTAGTTTAACCATGTACCGAGCGGTCTTACCTTAAAAATACGAGTTTAAGACAGAACGTATGCCTTTTCTCATTGCTCACGCCTGAAATATGTGCATTTCATTAGCTTCAGGCAAAGTAGCATTAAGCTAAACGTTTATTTTCTGTGTGCCCCGGAAGCAGTCAAACTTCCTGGGTCATTTTACTCAACGTCACCGACACATGCGCTGACAGCGCTGACACCTCCAACCATGGATGTATAATAAGAACTCCAACCCGCAGGCCATAGAAGGTACTACTAGTATGTATTCTGTTCTACTCATAGACTGTATAAACTTGGGTTCTACCCATCGTTCTAAAAAAGGGGTGGCGTCGCCTGGCCTTTAGCCCCGAATATTTTTTCTGTAGCCCCGGACAATTCTCCCTCAATAATATAATGCATTAACCCTGCTTTACCTGAACCTCATCATGAGAGGACGGCAGAATTGTAATTTCCCGTATTCAGTGAATGCAACAGAGGCAAGACCCTATCCTGCGAGCTGTGACAACTGTCAGTCGGACTCGAGTTTTTGAAGATGGACATAAGAAACATTTTTCTTAAAAAAGACGTCAATTCTCAAGTGGTGGCTCACACAACAACCCCTGAGCCACCACTTGAGCCAGGTAAACAAGGTATGTAAATGTCAGTAAACTTCCAAGTTATGCGAACATGTAAGCAAAGCATGAGAACATGTAAACACGCCCCTGAGACCAACCATAAGTTTCACTTTACTGTAAACTAGACAATCGTTTCTCTGGGAAACAAAACAGAAAGTCACTGCACTAGAAATATAAAAGGAGATGCCTGGAACAGGTTTGGCATCGCCAGAGAAATGCAAACCTGAGTCAAGACAGATCATGGGCTACATGACAAAATATTGCATATAGCCTATAAGCTAAACAATCCGGGGTAAAAGAGAGGCGTCGTTTCTACCATGGTTAATCAACAAAGGTAGGTAGGCAAACCTTTCTTTGTCAATTATTGTTTAAATTCTCTCTTAAAGAGCCCTAAATAGTTTTCATGTTGGGCTTTCTCTGGCCTTACAAAGATTGAGTCGATTGGTGTGCCGTGTGTTATCACAAATCACAGAACAACAGACCGTGTTATGCCGTGTTTTGCATGGACCTCGCGGGAAACACTCATCTTGGCTGAAATAACATGGGGATGCAAATCCTGGCAGCTAAAAAATCAGCGTTGCCGAAATAATGCATCCACATAACTTTGTTCCTAGAGTAAGGACACTTCAAATCAAACTGTGAATCAAATAGTGTATAAGCACGTACTTTATTTGACATAGTGGATGTTACATTGTTTTTTCCACATTTAAAAACCTCATTTTAGAATAACAGTTTATTAAAGCTGTCTGACATGCTTAAAAACACAGCGAAAAGAACGCAAAAGAGTTCGCCATGAAAAATAATGAAAGATTACTCAAATAATTGCAAATTTAGACCAATCATATCAAGGAAATGCTACTAAAATATAAATATGAATGACTCTTAATGTTCATAAACTATAGACTTCAGATTATTTATCACCATTGATGAACCAAAAATAAAATGATATCGTTTCCAAACCGTAG